CCACATAGCAAGACCACATAGCAAAATAAAATTAGTGGCTGGGCATGGTACCTGATGCCTATAATCCTAGCACTTGCCTAGCACAGGCAAGTAGAACTGTATGAGTTCAAGGCTAGCCTGGTCTACATGGCATATTCAGGACAACTTGGGCTACAAAGTAAAAAAAACCCTGTCTCAAAAATAAGTAAAATTAGTGGTATACAATTATAGTCTCAACCCTAAGGCTGAGGGAGAACAATGGTGAGTTCAAGGCTAACCTGGGCTATATAGTGAGTTCCAAGATGGCTTGGCCTAGGAGTGAAAACCTGTCTCACAAAAAGCAAATGAATGGATAAATAAATGCATAAGCAAACACAACCTTTAAAAGGGCTGGGAGGGTAGCTGGGTAGTAACAAGCTTACGTAGCAAGCATGAAGCCCTGGAATTGACCTCAAGTACCACAAAAAAAGCAATGTCTTAGAGAAACATCTTTTTGTAAATGTATTGCTGGGTGTGATAGCACAAGCCTGTGATGCCAGCACTTGGTATATAGATACAAAAGGGTCACTATGAGTTGGTGGCCAGCCTGGTCTACATAGCAAGTTCCAGACAAGTGAGAGTTACATAACAAAATCCTGTCCCAAAAACTCCTCTAATTTCAGAACTCAGGAGGCAGAGCCAGGCAGCTCTCTGTTACTTTCAGGGCAGTGTGGTCTACTCAGTAATTTCAAGGTCAGCCAAGCCTACAGAGTATATATAGTGATAGTGAGACCCTATCTCAAAAAACAAAACAAACAAAAAACACCCAGAAAACTACATACAAAAAAAACCCAAAATATCCTGCTAAACCAAAAAAAACTTTATTTCACCATTTTAATAAACAATTTACAACACTCTAGTGTCTTTGATTATTACAAGATATAAAGAAAAATCTATATTAATTCAGTATTTAGAATATGTCAGCTGGTACATGTGGCACATAGAGTTTTAAGATCTTTAATTCCAGACTTGGGGGAGCAAATCATTGAACACAGCACAGCACTCAGAAGGCAGAAGCAGAAGGATTTCTGAGTTGGAGGCCAGCCTCATCTACATAACTAGTACCAGGCCAACCAAGGCTACATATTGAGACCCTGTCTCATAACAAAATGAAATAATCATATCTTTAATTTGTTCACTATATACTTAGCCTAATTAGATTAGGAATTGTGGTAGGGAATATGAGAAATGATGAAAACAATAATTTCACCTTTCAAAACCCTAGACTAGCAAGAAAAGTATACAATCGGTAAGTATTCAAATATGATGCTATTGTGATATTAGGCCATATACTGAAGCGCTAGTTGACACGGTGTGCTCTGGGAGCAAAAAACTGATGGCCTATATCTGGGATGGAACTGCAAGAAGAATGTGCAGAGACTCAAAAGGGATGGGGGCCACTCACAGCGGGCATGTGCCACTGCATACCATTAAATATGTATGGCAGAGTAACAAGAGGGAAAACTGGAAAAGTTAAGTTGGAGGTAGATTGTGGAAGATCATTAATTTTCCAATGTTTGGAGCTTGTCAGACATGGAAATTCTTAGTGTCTGCCCTACACTTACTGGATCAGGTGGGAGTAGTCTCTGGGCCTGTTTTTTTATCGAGTTGTCTGGGTAGTTCTCAGATTCAGCAGCTTACAGAACCACTGTTACAGGTAGGGTGAAACCTCGGAAGGATTTTTAAGCAACAGAAACTGACCTGATGAGTTTGGAGGTGGCTGAGTGGTGGACATTGACTATCCAAGTCTAACACCTGCCTCCAGTATAAATACAAGGAGAAAAAAAACTATTGGATGACTATGACGTGATGAGATGACGTAAGCCAAGGCTAAAGTTGTAGGAATGGAATCAGATTTAAGAAATGTTTCAAGTGACCAAAGGTCAATCAGGTGACTAAAACAGTCATACAGATGTGTCACTGAGGTGGCTTTTACATAAAAGCTGTAGTCTTGTTGAATTTACAATTTATTTATCAATTTGTAGATCCCAGAAAAAGAGAAGCTGAGAACATTTCCTGTATCTTTCTTTCTTTCTTTCTTTCTTTCTTTCTTTCTTTTTTTTTTTTTTTCCTTTCCCGAGACAGGGTTTCTCTGTGTAGCCCTGGCTGTTTTGGAACTCTGTAAACAATGCTGGCCTTGAATTCCTATGTGTTTCTTTATAGTCAAGAGCAAAGGTTGTCTGGTTTGTACATAATGTGACTTCTAGCCTACTTGGTTGTCCCACCTTCCATTGGAAGTCAATAGGTTGACATATTAACATATCCATATTTTTGTGAATTTAGTTGGTATGAACTAATCTCAGAGACTAATAATATTAGGTTGTGCTGATAGAAACAAATTTTGAACCTGAGAAAGCTAGAAGCCAGGCACTGGCTCAGCTGATCAAAGTCAGGTACAGTCAAAGTGAGGTCATTCACGCCTCCTTTTTCCTAACCTGTCACTAAACTCACAGTAAACCCATTTAACTCAGCAGGAAGTTTGAACTGAACTGAGTAGAAGAATTAGACTTTGGGCTATACCCTGAAAGTCAAGAAAGCCAAGTAGAGCTGTTATTTCTAATTTTGGAGGCATGCTTTAGTATGGGCCATCATCTTCAATTACCTGATGAAAAGCAAGACAGGTGCAGGTCAACCAACATGACTAATTCACTTCCATTTTTGATAGAGTTTCACTATGTACCCTAGCTGGTCTGATACTCACAGTGTAGGTTGGGCTGGCTACAATTTCACACAGATCCACCTGTCTCAAGGCTAATGCAGGATACAATTCCTATTTTTATCATGCTTTTTAGTTGTTACCAACATCTTGCCTTATTTGGCCAACATATTTGTCCAAAAATAGCTCCCAGTCAAAAAGTGCGCACTTGCCAGGCACTTGCCTCACACCTGTACTCCCAACATTTGGGAGCCTATGGCAGCCAGATTGCTATTTTCCATTTCTATTTCAAACCCCCTCTTCTGCTTTATTGTGATTTTGTTTATTTGATCTGGTTTGCCTTTTTGTTTTTGTCTTTTTTATTTATTTATTTATTTTTTGAGACAGGGTTTCTCCTGGAATTCACTAAGTAGAACAGGCTGGCCTCGAACTCAGTATACTATGCAGTTTAGCAGCTTATCTTCAGCCTTTTTAAAAAACAAAAGAAGGGAGCTGGGCGGTAGTGGCACCAGCCTTTAAATCCAGCATGTAGGAGGCAGAGGCAGGCGGATCTCACTGAGATCAAGGTCTGCCTAGTGTACAAAGTGAGTTTCAGATCAGTCAAGGCTACACAGAGAAACCCTGTCTCAAAAAAACAAAACAAAACAAAAAAAAGATTAAAAAGTGTAGAGTAGCAATATTTTCACACATCCCTTATGTAGCCCTGGCCAGGTTTAGTAAGTAATGGGATGGGTTTTGTACTTTCTTGTTTTATGTTTTTAGACAGTGGACTTGAATGTAAATACCTTGTGAGAAAAAAATATACATACAATATTTGAGGCAATTTGAGGAAGATAGATTACCACTCTACATGGAAATACTGCCTATTACACTTAGATATATACTACATGTAAAGGGAATCTATCACAACCATGTCTCACAGATTTGATAAATTCTAAAGTTTCAACTACCTGCCATGTTAGAAAACCTATGTTGCTTTTCGAGTTCTTCATATCCTTCAGAAACCATTTTAACGTCACATCCTGTTTGAGTGTATAGACTGTACAGCTTCAAAGACCATGTTTCCTGTTTTCCAAACACATCACTGATCTGTACCAAATAAATGTGTAATTGAAAAGCTGGGTGTCTACCCCTTACTCAATTTCCTGAATGTAGTCTTTAATAGGCAAAGAGATTTCCCAATACTTACAGGAAGTGTGGGCAAGATTTTCATCACTAAGAATGTATTAAATCCCACGTGTGTCTTTCCCGAAAGAGTAGGCTTTCTCCTTCTGTCTGGAATTCACATTAAGAACAAAATGTGTTCCAAAAGAACAGGACTGCTTTTTAGGCAAAATTCGGGAACTGCAATTTTTCAAGATTACTATCTCTTCATTTCCTTAAAATGCCAGGACCCTTTTCATATTTGCCCTGTGGCTCTCCCAAGTGAAATTTCCTTCACTTCCACTGGGACAGCAATGCTACTTCAGTGGGAGAAAGATGTCAGTTACTTCCCTCTCAGGGGAACCACAGAACTTTAAAGAGGTTGATGTCTACAGAGGGACTCAACCCTTCCTCCTTAAGACATCAGCCCCACCTGCTTGGGGCCCAGCCTTTATAGCTCTATCCCCACACTGCCCGGCCCCATGTGAAACTGGTCATGTGAGCCTGTTTACAGCTGAGCAGCTGGTGCAACCATCAGGATCCATGCAGAGGTCCAGGGAGGGGTGGGGAGACAGGCCACGTACCCCCTTTCTCTCCTATAATTCCAAGAAGACGTTTACTTCCCCCACAGCACTCCCCGTTTCTCCACCTCCTTTCATGTCCCTTCAGGCAAAGCCATCCCGGGACGCCTGGCTCCAGCCACCCCGCCCCCCCCCATTTCCTCCCAGTTGCTCGCTGGGGGGACCGGCTGAACTGCAGGAAGGGCGAGGACAGTATCACCCCAACAGGGTAGTCGATCGACTTCCCTCCCTCAACCCTCCAGGCAATGTCCACCAAAGAGTTGTCCCTGGAGCCGCATCCCCAGGGCAACTGAACTCTGCCAGCCAGGCAGTAGGAGGCTTGGGAGGCTGCCTTCGCCCAGGCAGGGGTAACTACACATCTGCTGGCCCGACCATGCGGAAGGACCACCAGCAGACAGAGAGAGGTGGACCCGCTGCTTAGTCCCAGCCACCCACCGCAGCCCGGCACCGTGCAGCCCTGCTGTCAGTCACCGAGCCAAGCTCTAGCTGCGGGTCCTGGGCATTGTCTACACCGAGGGCCTCGGCCACGTAAGTTCCACGTTCCCACCCCCCCGCCCCACAAGTCAGAGGAAGTGGGTGACGGGACTTTGGGGGACTCTCACCTCACTAACCGTGGCTCCTTGCAAAGCAGCTGCGACTGCTCCTTGCTCCTTTGTCAGCTTCTCCAGACTGCACTGCCTGCTGGGATATGGGAGGACTCGACTGCCACCTCTCCCCGCCCAGGAGGATGAGTCTCAACAGGAGGGTGGGTGAGAAGAGGGAGAGAAGGCGGACCCGGGGGCGGGGTCTAACCGGGGGCGGGGCTTCGTTGTTGCCACCTGGCTTCTGGGCTTTCTTCCTTCTCAATGCTTCAAACTACTTCCTTCTTTGTCCTGTGGTTGTCCCTCCTCTTCCTCTGACCCCTGAGAGGTTTAGAGGCTTTCTCAGAGAGCAATCTCTTTGCATTCATTTGGTAGTAATCATTGGCATCGGTCTCATTTACTCTTCTCTCCAATCCAGAATACACTCAATGAATACCCACGACCAATGACTCTTACTCTGAAACATGTTTTGATGACCAGCCCTATATCTCTACTCTAACATCAGCACAGCAGACTGGTTAGGCTCCAGGACTATTTGTTCGTGCTACTACAGTAGGCTCCAATTTGGATTCATTCCTTCCACTGCTACTTTTGTCAAAACTGTTCTACATAGCCTTGTCTACACAGCAGTTTCTAGAACAGCCAGGGCTACATGTGAGACCTTGTCTCAAAACCAGAGATTTTTTTTTCTTTTTCTTTTTAGCTAGGCATGGTAGAACACAGTTGCAATTACACAGTTGTAATCCCATCACTTAAAAAGATCCCAAGGATTGCATTCCAAACCAGCCTAATCTGCATAGCAAGACCCTGTGTGGTGGGGTAGTGTGCTGGCTAGCTTATGTCAACATGACACAAGCTAAAATCTGAGAGGAGGAAACCTCAATTAAGAAAATGCCTCCGTAAGATCAGACTGTAGGCAAGCTTTTAGGGCATTTTCTTAATTAGTGATTGATGTGGGAGGGTCCACTGTGGATGGTGCCGTCTCTGGGCATGTGGTCCTGGGTTCTATAAGAAAGCAGGCTGAGCAAACCAGTAAGCAGCACTCCTTCATGGCCTCTGCATCAGCTCCTGCCTCCAGGTTCCTGTCCTGACGTCCTTTAATAATGAACTGTGATATGGAATGTAAGCCAAATAAATCCTTTCCTCCCCAACTTGCTTTGGTCATGTTGTTTCATTGAAACAATAGCTTCTGGGCTTAATTAGGAACCCCTGTGTTTAAAAAAAAAACAAAACAAAAAAAAAACCCAACACTTTGCTGGGCTATTGGCACACACCCTTAATCCCATCACTTAGGAGGCAGAGGCAGGGGGATCTCTGAGTTTAAGGCCACCCTGGTCTAAAAAGTGAGTTCCAGGACTACCCAGAGAGAGCCTGTCTCAAAAATAAATTGAAAATTCAAACTTAATTTACTCAAAAAGGAAGAATAAGGTACAATGGTCACAAGTCCTCTCCTCACAAGTATAACACCCAAAGACTTCTTCTTGGCTGTCCTACAACAATGGGTAGCCATCAACTATCCGCTAGTCAGAGGCTAGAGCCTAAGGGATACCCTTATTCACAGATTCATTGTGTAATGTTCTTATCTGTCTTTTTGAATACCTATCTTTCAGGGTCCAGGAGTAATGTCAGTTTCCCGCCTAACCTTTTAGAATCTTCCATAAGAACCTTGTATCTTATTTGTCTAAAACATGGCCCAACTATGTAGCCCTGGACTGGTATTCATTGTACAGACCAAGATAGTTCTAATTTAGTGTGATCCTCCTGTCTCTGTCATGCTGGGAGTACAGGCATATACCACCAAGCCCAGCAGACTCTTCCACAGGGACCATTAACTCCTATTCTGTCACCAAAGAGCACTGCTTATTGTTTTGTAATTCTTCCTCATATAGGTAACATGTTTCTTTCTTCCCTTCTACTCTACCTCAGAACATGCCACAGCTGCCAGCACAATGCCCCTTCTACAACATATATGCATACACTTTAATTAAATATGATACTCCATCTCTACTGCATCAGAAATCCTAAGTAGGCCCAGAAAGAATTCTAAGCAAGGCTTCATATAATAGTCACCCTTTCTTCACTAGGACATCTCTCCATCTTGACCTGACCAAGTGTTGCTTTTGCAAACACAAACTGGTTAGGCAGCAGAGCATTGCAAAAGGACCATAGTCTGCACTCCTCTTGCAGGTCAGACTGGTTTGTGGTACAATATGTGGTTGTGGAAGACATAACTGGTGCAGCTCACAGGAGAAAACAGTGCAGAGAAGTATATGGTACCACAGAAAATGATTGAGTTGCCATATAAATACACTACCTAGCTTTTGGAGGTTTTTTTTTTTTTTTTTTATTCCTATTGGTTCAGGCTATCTTTGGGCTCTATCAGTTCAAACCTTACCATGCATCGTCTGTGACATAAAGTATTTTGCAAAAGTGGGCATTAAAATAAAAAGGGTTTTTCCAGGTTCATTAGAGAGCTGGGATGAGGGGAAGCTGGAATATGGTGACAACCCAGCAACCACTCCCAGAACAAGTCTACAGTTGTAGACTTCAGAAGGTAAGTGGTTTTTTGAGCTTAGAGGGTAGAGTTCTCTAAGTGTAGCAGATTAATGAAGGTACTAAATAGAATACAATGCCTTAATTTGGAAAGCTAATCCCATTGGCCCACATAACTCTGGGTCTGCTACATGCTTAGCAGTTTTAGAGAATACACTATATAGGATGAAAAGCATGGTTATTCCCCTCTACAGGGGTAGCTTCTGTGATCTAACAATAGGCACCTTTGTGTTGTTCTCCCATCATTTAAGGTGTGGTTGCTTTCTAATTGTATTATAGACAATATTATGGCAGATGTTGAGAAAATTGAGCATATACTCAAGCTTCATAAAAGTAAGTCATTTTAAAAACATTTAAAGGCTAAAAGGAAGATGATAACATTCAGAAATGTCGTAATTGTTTCAGAAATTATAAACTTTTATAGGAATTTATAATAGTAGCCTACAGTATTGTTTTCTTTCCCACTAAATTGAGGACGTTGTTGGTGGGGGGGGGACTTAATTCTTATTATTAAATTTCTTATCATAGACTAACTTTCAAACTATGCAATATTTTGTGAAATTTGTTTCCACCTTTAATCATACCTTTCAATTAAAGCTTGAGTTAAAATGAATGGCTAAGATATGAATTTGTACTTTAATGATTATACTTAAGCTACTTGACAATGAATTCAGAAAAATAAAATACATAAATTTTGTTCAAAAAAAAGAGAGAAAATATCTTCCCTGGAGAGTTGTAAACAAAGTCTGCTTCCTCCTTATAGGGCCCCAATATGATTCCACTGAAGATCAACCTGGGGAATCAAGGAGTATGAGGCTTAGTTATAGAGCATGACTGAAGGCTTGCCTACAAGTGTATGGGTAACCCCAAAGTAGTCACTTTGGAAAGTCTTCACACAGCATGAACAATGGCTTCTTCTTAGCTGCATAAGGGGGTATCCCCTTGTTAACCTTCCTCAGCCTATATTGACTCTAGCACCCATAGAGACCATTGAGGCCAAGAGTAATTAAGGCAGAATTGCACACATACAAATGGCTGAGCAGAATGGCTGGAACCTCAGGTAATGGTCCAATGATGCACCCCAGCCCATTTTTTTCTTTGAGGGAATGTCAACAGTCTACAGACCTGGCTTCGATGGTCTCTTCCAACAAGTCCAGACAATCTGATGAAGATAGCCTATATGATTTACAGGCTCTTGGGAGGTTGTATTATGGTAACATGTATGGTGTATATGGTATCAAACTATATGATGCTTTTCAAACATAAGCTCTGTTTTGCTATTTAAATTCTTTTTAAAATTCTTTTTAAAAATTAAAAATATTTATTTTTATTTTTGTGTGTATACATGTGTGTCTGTGAGAGGGAGGTTCTGTGCACTGTGTACATGCTGCAAAGCCTAGAAGAATGTGTCAGAGTTACAAATGGTTGTGAATGACCATGTGAGTTCTGAGAACTGACACAGGTTCTCTGGAAGAGCATCAACTACTCCCAATCACTGAGCTATCTGTATTAAAATTCTTAATACATATCTGCTTTGGAATCAAGGTGCTTTATTACAAATCTTGGGGCAATACCCTTATTTAATGTGTACATTTTGTTTTTTAAGTAATTATGGCATTTTCCTTCTTATGTATGTATCATTCTTGGTTCTAATTCATCCCCCCCACCCTCTTGTGGCTGGTTTCCTACTGTTTCATATCAAGTATTCCATTTGCTGTTTCCCCATCAAATCTCTTCCTCCCCTCTCGTGATCCACTTTCTAATTTCATAACACACACCCCTGATCCTCTCTGTCCTCTCTTACCACACGCGCGCGCACACACACACACACACACACACACACACACACACACACACACTTTTAAATCTAGAATCAACAAAAGAGAGAAACCACACAGTATTTATCTTTCTGAGTCTGCCTTATTTCACTTAATATAATGATCTCCAACTGCAACTATTTTTCCACAATTGTAATTTCATTTTCTTGTGGTTGCTGAATAAAACTCCATTGTGCATATACTCATTTTCTATATATCCAAGAATGGTCTAGCTAGGTTATATGGTAGTTTTTTTTGGGGGGGGTATTGTTTATTTAGAACATGACTTTCCAAAGTTAACAAAGGGTAAGAATAACTTTTTAAAAAGCATATTCCAGAGTCTACACCAGACCCACCAAATGGTTAACCATATAAGCAGTTGGGCACATATCAATACAAGCTCATTTAGGATTCATTCTGAAAAAGTCCTTTTACATAAAAAGAGAGGGGGACATGAAACAGAGTTTGGAAGGAATCTCCAGCCAAACAAACAAATAGTCAAATTGTGCCGACAGTTAGTCTGGATAAAACCTCCTTGTACTTGCTTATCCTTGCTCCCAATGTTCTAGAATCTGGCTCCAGGGGAAATAAGCATTGCAGTTAATCTAACTAACTTACCAGGGAAGTCATATGATTAAACAGGATCTTTACTGCCTCAAACTAATTGGTGAGGATCCAAATTTTTCTTAGTGTCACAATGGTTCTGACCAACTAGTGTTGTTAGAACCTTTCTGCAGAGTTCTCACAGCCCCCAGCCTTCTTTGATGGTGTTTAAGTACTGTCATCATTTTCCTGTTTGTCT